TGTCTTCCAGAGGCAAGGTTTCAAGTTCGAAAGAGCATACTGAAAATGGAGCTGATGTTGAAAGCGGCATAGGTGGAAACGAAATTAAGCCAAAGACAGGGCAAGATGAAGAAACTCAGACATGGGTTACATTTTCCGACCCCAATACAATTCAGTTTTTCTATCACCCCGAACCTACTTTTGCCCTCTTCACAAGCAAAATTATGAAAAAATACCCCCCTTTATTGACCAACCAGCATTCAGTAATTTTGCCCTTATGTTACTATGTAATAAATTGCACGCGATATTGGTTTTCAAGCGCAATTTAACGCGGGATTTACGAGTCAAGTAATGGATTTTCCTAGAATCGCACAATTGAATAAAATGAAACAGAGAAATGACAACACCATTACCTATAGTTTTTATGTATAAAAGCTTCGAAACAAATATTACTTACCCTCATTTTAAACTCGCACCCCAAACACCTCGCGTCGTTAACCATTCCGAATGCGAGATTTTATTCAATGATTCTCTGCAGAAGCATCAACAAGGCAGTCAAAAATTTAAAATCGTACTGAGGACATACTTGAGTTAAAAATCACGTTCGTGCATTAGTTTACCATGGATCGCTCACACACCAGTTAAACTGGCTCAATCTCGAGTCCAGAGTCTTCTCCGCTGGTTGATCGCCGGCGTATCTCAAGGCGCGGGCAGTTCCATATCGCTGTATCGAATATCGCCAGTATCGATACTTTGCGATCAGACTTCGATAACTCCGATAACAAATGTCGGCCTTTCCTTACCATCGATGAGTGAAGACGTACGTAAGAGTGCTGCGAAGATGGACTTGTACATACTCTTCGGCAAGAAGGTGGATTATTTTATGAGCTGAAAATTTAATTCAAGAGCTAATATTAAAGGTAAGCATCGTTGAAGATGTGACCTCTATTTTGTATAAGATGCCATCAGTTTTTTACTGAAAAGGACTAAGGCATGGACTGAGGACGACTAAGAGTTAATGTGTATTCATTTCAAGTTTTGAGGTGGTTCATTTTTCGAACGAGATAAGGTTTATCAGCCTGGTCTTGAGAATGCATTTGTTAGGCAAAGTAATTTACATTTAACAATTATTCACCGAACCTAAGGCGAATAATCGTTTTAGTATAATTTCAGAGGTGAACAACAAAGAAATTTCCAAAATCATAACATTTTAGTAACATTTATTAAAATTTTATACAAACCGCTTGGAGCGGTTTATATAGCAATTTAGTATAATTTCAGAGCTGAGCAAAGAGTTTCCAGGAATCTGATTGGTTCAGCGGTTCCTTTTATGGCGCTATATAAACCGGTCCGCGCGGTTTATATAAAATGTTAAAATAGGATGTTAATAAATGTTACTAAAATGTTATGATTTTTGAAATTTCTCTGCTGTTCAGCTCAGAAGTTATTCTAAAACAATTATTCGCCTCAGGGTTGGTGAATATTGTTGAATAATCCCCTCAACTTCGTCTCGGGGACTATTCGACGATATTCACCTCGCCTTTGGCAAATAATTGTTAGTATAATTTCAGAGCTAAGCAAAGAGTTTTCAGCAATCTGATTGGTCGAGCGCTTCGTTATATGACGTTATATAACTTATATGACACTATCTAACTCCGCTCCATGCGGTTTATATAAAATGTTAAAATAAAAAGTTAATAAATGGTACTAAAATGTTATGATTTTAGAAATTTCTCTGTTGTTCAGCTCTAAAATTATTCTAAAACAATTATTAGCCTCGGGTTTGGGGAATATTGTTGAATAATCCCCTCAACTTCGTCTCGGGGATTATTCAATGATATTCACCTAACCTTCGGAAATAATTGTTAAATATAAGGAACCGCTCGACCAATCAAATTGCTGGAAACTTTTTGCTTAGCTCTGAAATTATACTAATAAATGTTATAGCCCAGTGTTCTGAACACTAGTTATACTGAAAATATAAATGAAATGTTTTACAGAGCACTTGGCACAACGTTTGGTCAGATTCCATTAAGTGTACTGTTTGGCAATTGCATTAGGTTCCTGAACAATGTCACTTTTCCTTGTCTATCTTACCAAAGCAATTGCTAAAGTGCCAAGAGTAGAAGTGTTGTAAACCCTGCCCATCAGGAAAATTCACTCTTGATATAATCAAGATTTTGTCACGCAATGTAAAGCAAACCGCGTTACTGAAAGAACTTCATAGAACTTAATGTGATTAAATGAAATGTAATTTAATGTAATATAATTTAAGGCAATATAATTCAATGTAAAGTAATTTAACATCTGGGTTTGCCTTAGGAATTCATTCATAGTTACCTATGTGAAGAGGAAATAAGGACAAGACTATATGGTCAGGAGATGAAACTGGAATCAGTGAAGAGTCAGAAACATTTGTCGCCAAAGATAAGAAATTCAACCTCTTTTGATCAATCAAGTTATTCATGTTGGGTATTTGCATAATACTATAGCCATATAAGGAGGAGAAATTTATGATGGTGAAAAAGTTGAAAGCTCTATCTTGTATAAACTAATTACCCATGCTGTTGTCAAAAATTTGATGACAATTTTTTTGCAAGGTCATTCTGTGTGCCCTGGATTTATGCAGTAGCATAGAAAGCCAAATGCATTATTCAAGTTATTCAAAGCTCAGAAAAAATGATTGCAAGTCATTTCTGAAGTTTTATGTACTTAGGGCCTAAAAGCAGACACCTGGTAAAATTCAAAGGAAATAGACAGGTTCCCCAAAGGGAGGGGGGGGCAAATTTCTCGAAATGTTCTCAACTGATTAGAATTAAGGGTTTATCCACATACAGAGACATGAGAGAAAGTTTGATGACAGTTTGAGAATTTTGAGTCAGTTTTGGATTTGGGCTCTATAGGATTGATGAAATTTTTGATACAAACTTCTTGGGAATTCACTTTGAGGAAATATGATAAGAATTTGGTGCTGTTTACTGCTAAGAAAATTTCATCTATAGTCTATCATTGTTTAAATTAATTTGGATGAAAGGATTTCAAAGAAAAGAATTAGATCTTTGCAGTTTTACATCTGATGATGAATTTCATTTAGAAGCCTAGTTTCAGGATTTATTTGTGTCTACGTGGTTTGCCTTAGAGCAGAAGAAGAGGAAAATATTTCTTTTCTTAGTTTGTATTTATTTTGGGTTGGAGTATTTCCAAAATTGAGATAAGGTTGTTATGCATTATATTTTGATAAATTTGAAAAATCAAATACTTAATGGCGCCAATGCTGATGACATTTACTATTGGCACAACGTTCAGAATTTACTTTGGAGTTAAAATTTAAGAAAAAAATTTAGAATTTTGCGCTATTTAGATCACATTAATTGTACGGATTTCATATATTTTGCAAGAAATATTTTTTTCAAGCTGAAATTCAGACCTAAAACTTCTTCAGACTTTTTGAAATGTCATTGTTGTTCTTAGGTTGCTGAGTGACATGTTTGTAAGCCCTTTTTAACTCGTGAATTGTGCGCATGCGTAAGGGCGAGTTGTAGGTATGATGTGATGAATGGCGCTCACTCGCTCGCTTGCTCGCTCGATTGGTCGATTCCTGTAAATTTTTTTCTATTTTAGGGTTTTGAATGCATTTGATAGTTTTTGGCGAGTAATAAACAAATGAAATGGCAACTTTTTTGAACCACCTACGTCACTACCCTGAAAACAAGATGTACCCCACTACTTTTTACCTTAAGGCCACTGAAGCACCGTACTAAATGTAGGCGGAACTTTATGTAACTGTAAATTTGACATTTAAAATGCTGATCTTTTGGTAATTTCAACCGCGGGCTCAAACCACTCAAGTCGCTGCTCGCTGAACTGTGTCGCTCACGGCCAACTGCTCGTAAAGTGACTTGTTTGAGGCTTATTTGGTAATCCTAGAGCTGTATCAACGTTGGAAAGTGGTTCGCAAGTGGGAACTGCAGTGAAAGAAGCTCAAGCATAAGTTCAATCAATCGATATGCTGTTTCTTCAATGGTGTAATTCGCACTGTGTATGTGTATGTTAGTAGTGCACTGTTAAGTTTGTATGTTTCCAGATACCTTGAATTAAGGATTTTTTTCTTAAAAATGCGTCCTGGAGTGAGGAACAGGAAGTTCTAAAGATGAGGATTGATATCACTCAAAATGAGTGGTATTCAATTTGAAAATTCTGATTTCCTCAAGCACTAAGTTATAAATTTCTCTTAATTTATCTCATGTCTCTTATCAACCAAGTATATTTTTACTCTCTAAAGCAGTACAAAACTTTATTTAGAAACTAAACTTAGTCTTCATTCTCTCCAAGATACCTTGTTCTCTCTCAGGTCCCTTTTTCTCTCGTCAGATAATATCATATTACATATCAAAACATGCCTCCAACACCTTAGTCTCCACCCTCTGCTGAACTTATGCCCCCCTTCCCACCCACTTCTAAAACTAAGTTTGAGAGGTCAGGTTACCAACAGGCAAGTCACTGCCATAGGTCTACAAAGTCATGTAAGTGAAAAGGTAATGCAATTTTTTCAAAAACCATTCCCTAAAAATTGTCTACACACTGAATGGGTGTGACTTGTTGCCTAGTATGCCCCAAGTTCAAGGTTTTTAAAATTCCTCACCCCATAACATAGTCTACTTTGCTTGAAATTGTCTTATAGCCAGACTGTGAGAAGGCTTTCAGCTTTCGAAAAGTATGATAATTCATCTGCTACTCTATTAAGGTTGGATTCTGTGACTGGGTGTCCTTTCCTTTTTAACTCGGCTTCAGCACACATTTTAATGTGAGATCTCTCCAACGGCAAAAATGGAATAAAGTAATCTATGAGATGTTTTTCAATAAGGGAAGAATGCCAGAATCCACCTTTGCCATTAAATTTACCGAGATTGATAACTTCGTCCATCTCTTTGATCTTGATGTCTTCTCGTTTCTTTCCGTCTTTCCAGTGCTTAAGAACAGCTTCGTTGATGAGACGACCCCCTGTATTGCTGAGGAATATGAACATACTTTGACGGTAATCGATCTTGCCTGCATCAGCGGGGTTGTGATCTAAGTAAGGTTTAAGCACATCTATGAGACCTGGCGGCATTTTGTCCATTTCGTCGAAAATAAACATGGATCTGGGGCACTTTGATACGGATCTTTCCACTCGATCGCGCAGCCGTTGCTTGTAAAAGTCAACTTTTGACTGAAGAGGGAACTCATGGGTAGCTATAATCAGATGAACATGATCACTTTTCAAGCCCCTCTTGAAGATGTGTTTGGCAATGATCTGGCTCACAAAGTTCTTTCCGGATCCTGTCCAGCCGTTGAAAGAAATCGTCAACGCTTTATTGGGCGACTCATCCTTCAAATGGGACGTATACAAAACATGGACCGGGGTCCATGGACCACCCCCTATGGACCCGGTCCATGGACCACCCCTATGGACCACCCCACTGGAACTGAGTTTTGTCGTACACGTGGGAAACATGGAGGAAGGTGAGAAGGGAAAGTGTCGCGCTATTTTACAATTTTGGATGTTCCTTTGCAAATAGATTCATATCTGTTTTAGCCGGCATATTTTTAAAGTAATACAGGCGTACTTTGTGGGTACGAGCAATAAATACTCACCTGACCTTTGGATCGTTTCAAGACAGCTGCCATCTTGGATGAGGGAGCGCGAAGGGGCTGGAGCGAGTTTATGTTATCGGGCAACCTACCCCCTCCAAGGTTACGCTTCGTTTAATACGGAAACTAACTGATTCTGTGCTCTCTTATTAAAATTACAAGCTATCCATTAAACTTTTTCATCAATATACCTTGATTACAAATTTGTGTTCGTAGGGTAAACTTTGCTTATGAAATAAATCGGCTTATTTTTATGCACGATAGAGTATAATAAGCGGGGTAGGGGTGTCTTCCCGATCGAATTGCAATTTGGAAGTGTTGGAATGAAAATATTGGGGGTAGAAATGCACTCGATCTTCTGTATCTGAAAACGAGTTTATGGTCTTCCCATTTATGGGGGCAATAAATACGAGTGCGTGTTTTTCATACCCTGACCTCCGGTAAATTACCTAAATTAAACGAGGCTAACCAGTAAGGTGAAGTTTGATTGGGATTCTGTGAGTCATTGGTCGGGAGCGAAGGAGTCATATGAGAAGGCGCACGAGCCTGGGAAGATCAGTCTTTAAAATATGTGAGCACTTAAACCTAATCATGGCTGGGTTAATAACACATGGGTGGGCACATGACTCCTTTGCTCCCGACCAATGACTCACAGAATCCCAATCAAACTTCACCTTACAGGTAAGCCTCGTTTAATTTAGGTATTCTGTTTCGTCATTGGTCATTGGTCGCTACGGAGTCACGTGAGATTTTAAAGCAGTGTGAGTGCGAACTCAAACATAATGATTTATAGCAATATGAACCTGCTTTAATAACATTCTCTCTTAGCCATCAAAACATACAAATATAAGACACTATCTTAGGTGTCACCACATACAGCTTTAAGGAGCCCAGTTCCGGAATTCTCTCAAGGTTCCACTGGTTTGTTGTAAAACTTAGTAAATAGTGGACTCCTGGGACCACCCCGCACTTTTCATAATTGTGGTTATAGATATGCTGTTTGCTTTTGCTGCAGATGTAGATGTTATCGAGTGCTCTGTGCACTGTACTTCGAAGTGTCAATTCCAGCATCAACCAGTGTAGCCTTAATCCATCTGCTTATTGTATCAGGGGAAACAGCTTTATAAGGCTTAGAGTAACTAATAAGAAGCTGCTTTACATTACCTCGAAGAGTATCTGTGTGCTTCAGATATTGCTGAAGATGCTTTACAATACAAAGACTTACATCTGGTGCATAGGCCTGAAACTCAATACAAGCTAAATTTTTACCCGGTCTGGAAGTTTTTAACAATGAGTTAATGGAAAACACACACTTTTCAGAACTTAATTGCATATAATCAATTGGTAATGTGTGCAAAGTCTGGCAATGCTGTCCAGAAAGCAACGCCATTAACGTAACCACTTTCAAAGTCAAGTTCTTCAAACGAAGTTTCACAGGTGGCCCAAGTTTAGCTAGATAGTCTAATACCACTGTGACATCCCAAGTTTCTTGGTACCTTGGGAGAGAGGGTCTGCACTCAGAAATTCCTTTGAGGAAACGACAGACTAGGGGATGCTGTCCAAAAGTGTAATGCTCTGATGTAAAACAAACAGTAGACAAAGCACACCGTCCAGTGTTGAGAGCACTGTATCCAATCCCTGTGTGGTAAAGTTCTGCCATGAAATTAATCCCATGTTCTAAAGTTGCTGAAAAGCGATTAATCTTCCTTTGACAACAGTATTGTTCCCATTTAATGATGAATAGTTTATATCGTTGTTTGGTGCCCTTTCTCCAAGACTGTAGGATGAATGAGGTAGCTGATTCCGAAAGCCCTCTGCCTTCAAGTGATTTCCTGACAAGTGGCATATCAGAAGTGCGAGCTTCTGATGTAGTGGATGCACCAAGTCTGGCTGTTGAGGTAGAAATAAGGTGTGTTTCTTTTTGGGGAGCACAAGGGGTTCCTGAACCAGCAGTCTCATCACCAATGGCCACCATGGCTGAGTTGGCCAGCACGGCACAACTAACAGTCCTGTTGTCTCCTCTGCTTGAATTTTCTGTAACACTTTTGGGATGATACTAAAAGGAGGAAAGGCGTAAAAAACATAAGGTTTCCAAGAAATTGAAAAAGCATTAATAGCCATTGCTTCAGGGTCTGGTTGGTAGGCAACAAATGGCCTTAGCTGGCAATTAAGCCTAGATGCAAATAGATCAGCCTGAGGCTTACCGGCTGTGTGAAAAATTTGCCTAAAATTTAAAATTTGTCTAAAGTCCATTCAGTTTCTTTCTAGATTTCCTGGACTCTGCATCAGCTAGAGTATTCTCTTTCCCTGGGATATGACTTGTGGTTAACCACATGTTATTGTCAAGGCACCACTCCGAGAGTGAACGGGTTAAATCATTTCGCTTTCTGGAATGGCTTGTGCCCATTTTACCTAAATCTGACACAGCAGTCATATCCTCAATTCGCACAAGTACATGCTTTCTTGCTAACTCTTTATGAAACGCCTTAAGAGAAAACAACACTGCAAGCATTTCAAGATAATTGATGTGATTAGAAGCCTCTGTTGGAGTCCAAGGTCCCCCAATCTTTGCATTATTGAGCACTCCTCCCTAGCCCTCTTTACTTGCATCTGTATATAAAGTGGCCTCTGGCTGAGGAGGGCTAATAGGATTGCATAATGACCTCGCTGAATTTATCCACCATTGCAAATCACTGCGAGACAACTCAGAAAGTTGCATAAATGCACCAAAGTTGCTCTTGTTTAGGCCCAAGGCCTCAGTTTTGTCCTTGTCCAGTGACCTAAAATGTAAAGGCCCTAGCCTTGCTGCTGGAAAATTTGATATGAGGAACCCAAGGGTTGATGCCACCTCTCTTACTGTAGGGTGCGGACACTCCAACAGTCCTTGACAGGTATGAATGATCTTTTCGTTCTTCTCAGAGGTTGGATAAACTTTCATTGTGATTGAGTCAATGATAAACCCCATGAAGGTGATACGATGTTGTGGAACAAAGGAAGATTTTTCAGGGTGGACAGTGAACCCAAGGGAATCAAATAATCTGACAGTATCGCAAACATTTCTTTCACAGTCATCATAGTCATCACCCTGGAGATATGAGTCATCCATATGACTTGCTGAAACGTGTCCCAGCTGTCTCAAATGTGAATATACTGGCTTAAATAATTTATTAAACTTCCTGGGGTAAAATGCCAATCCATTTGGAAAGCAAACACATTTATACAGTTTTCCACGCCACTGAAACTTTAGGTATTTTTGGTTTGCTGTGGCAGTAGGCACAGAATAATATGCATCCATTAAATCTATGGATGCCATAAAGCACCCAGGTTTTACCATTTGTAAAACAGTATTAAGTAAGTCCATTTTAAAATGGTGATATTGTACATGCGTGTTTAAACACTTGAGATTTAAAATTACTCTGAAAGAACCATCCTTTTTGGCCCTAGTGAAAATAGGAGAGACATATTCCCCTTTTTCGTGACTACTTGGGGTAATAACACCCTTGGCAAGGAGTTCAGCTATTTCAGTATCAATGACATGTTGTTTGTCCAACAAACAACATGTCAGTTTTTTAGAATTCTAAAATTGAGGGAAGATGTGAACGTAACAATTCAGTGAGAGAGAATTCTGAAAGTGTGCACTATACTAACGTAACAATCCAATCCAAAAAAATGTAAAATTCGCCAGATACTTACGAAACAATCCAATTAAAGATAATTTTGGAAGTGTGAGAGATACTAAGTTAACGTAGCCATCCAATTAAAGATAATCGTAAAACTTGAGTTCGGGGGATACTAACGTATGAGAATGCTAAAAGTGCGAGAGATGATACTTATATAACAAACAAATAGAGAAGAGTTTGTAAACCGTGAAGCGAGTTTTTGGTGTGAAATCCTCCGGGAGAGAAAATTTAAAACCGATTTTTCACGACGAGCGTGAAAGCTGCATTTGATCGAAAGTGCAATCAGAAAGAGGGAGCCATAACTTATTGCCTATTCTACCTTTAAAGTGCACTGAGTTTGATCCGAAGAAAAAAAACAACAACAACATAAACAAGAACCGAATCAGTGTTGATAAACAAGGTTTCTTTTGGCTGTTCTTTTTAATCTGGGAGTACCTTTAATTCAAATTTTCAATTTCCCAAGACCTAGCTAACAACGGTATCCAACGAGTTATCAACTCACCATCATCCTGAATTTGACCTTTTATCCATAACCAGACGCATCGTAGATGTTGACTTCTATGAAGCTTTTCCAACCTTTTTCTTGGCTTTTCATTCAGTTGGCAATCCTAGTAAGGAAGAAGTATTTCGTAAAACTCTTCTTATGTGGCGAGGGTGGGGTCCTAAACCCGAGTGGCTCATAGGCAGCGGTGCTTATCCCTGTAATCTGTGGCACAAAGACACAAGGATAATTCCTTATTCTTTTGGGTGGGATGATAAAGATAAAGTATCTGACGTAGCTTGCCACTACTTTTGCAGTTTTATCGGCCAGTTCGCTAGCCCTACGTATACTCTTCGATGGAGAAACAGTTTTAAATACTACGTAAGACAGGGATATCACTAAGATATAGCTGTATATTTATAGTTGTAACCCTTTGACCCTTTCATCGGAGGAACCATCGACGTATGGTTAATGGCTAGTTTTGGGGAAAGGGGGGAGGGGTGGGGGTGACGAAAGAGAGATGCTATTTGCCAATCAAACCTAATTGGCTCTACAATCTCTCTTTCCTATCTGTATTAGTTGAATTACCGCGTCACGGATACCTTTAAAGAGAGTTAAGTGGATTACACGCGGTAGGAGATGTACCTTTCAGGGACCGCGAAGTGGGAGACAAGGGTCAAAGACCTTTGGATTTACCGTTTTAACATTCTACGAGGTTCTGTGTACTAGTTGATGTAAACTCGGCTCAGATAGTCCCAGGGTAGTTTCCCTTGAGGCAAACACACGGTGAAACATGTGAATGTGAAACTAACCTCGCCAGCATAAAAGAATGGAATATCTAAGCACAAAATAATTACCTGAACTTTGAGGATGACCTTTATCATGTGGTCGTGTACCTGCCCTGGCAAGTCATCACGCAATTTTACTACAGTGCGTTTGCCTTGATCTATAATGAAAAAGGCATTAATGATCTAAAATAAGCGACTATTCAACGGCTACTCAGTAATTTGAATTAACGTTGTTCCAAATAAAATTAAAATACTTTTCTGAAATGGAAGATCTACCCGACAAAATGAAAGAAAGTGGTGATTATACCCTAAAAAAGGTTATGATCAGTGATTGGTGTTTTAGACCACAACCTTTGAGACTGCTATGTGCCGACTGAAGATAATAAAGATAAGGTAAAAGAGCTTACAAGCAAGAGTCCTTTTTACCGCAGCTCAAACCGTTCTCTGCACCATGAAGTGAGAATGAGTTACTTCAACTAGATAAGATGCTTGTCCAGTTGCAGGTTACTCCTTCACCACTCCCCCCTCCCCTACTCCCGCTTTTTATTGGGTATGCCAGAAAGTTGTCCGGTCTCAACAAAAACTCAACCTCACTATACTTCTTAAGAATTCTTATCTATCCATTACTCCACAACGGTTTCCGTCCTTTATTGAGTTAAGGCGACAGAAAATAATGGTACCATCATTTTCTCTTGGTTAGCCGGGGCAAAACAAATGTTTATGTTTACAACTCGTTTCCAAGATAATGATAGGGAATACTAATTGCTTGAGCTTTGAGGAAGATTGTTATCTCGTGGTGTCTGCCTGTCCAAGTGATCAGTCACGTGATCCAATTTCATTTATATCTGCCCATGTCTACGAAGGAAAATACGGTCACGGTTAGATACTGGTTACCTTTGAACCGCTCTCTATACAATTTTGCATTTCTCCTACAGTCTAGTAATCACCTTGGTTATCAAATTTCATGACCTGACCTCGGGCATGATGTTATTGTTTCTATTCGATTCACTTGAAAATTTAACAACAAAATTTTGTAAGTGACCAAAAACCTACAACAGCATTCTCGTGCTTTGAAGGGGAGGATAACTTCCTGCTGAAATAACAGGGATGGGGTAGGGTGGAAATGATATCCTCGAAAAGGTATCAAAAAATAATTGAGATATTATTCCCGCTATTATTTGTGAAAAACCTATCGTTGAATCTACATAAAGCTACGTTTGTTAAGATAAAAGACGACACTTTCTATCAACTCACTGTTGTCATGGTTTCCTAGCCAAAGGAAGTCGTTTCGCCAATAAGCTGATAGAAAGTGTGGTCTACCGCTTGATGGATTTGGGATTTGGTATTATGTATGGTGTTTGAAACCAAATTGTAAATCTCCATGAAAGCTATATTCCGGGATGTGATGGGGCACAAGGTAAGGAACAATGCTGTTCCATAAATCTACTCAAGTGTATTCGATGGAATCTATGCCGTTAATGTCTGTAATAAATATAAATATAGAGGCAAGACCGATGCAACGTAGATGAGTTTAAGACGGAGCACTATATTTCGGCTGGCCAAACCAGTGGGAATTGACATAGAATTAAGGTGGTACTTAACTAACCGCCACCCGGTTAGCTCAATTGGTTAGACCGCCGTATTGTGTTGTGCGGGAGGTCGAGGGTTCGAGCCCTGGCCGGACCAATACTCATGGTCTTAAAATAATTGAGGAGAATTTACCACCTTTCTATAATATCAAGAAATGGATAGATATTCTAGTCTTCTCGGATAAGGACGAATAAACCGTAGGCCCCGTCTCTTGCAGGGTTAGGGGTAGGAGACGTTAATTTCCCACGTACGAGATTGCTGTGTGGTGGATGTCCTCCCCTGGGGTGGGATGAGTGGGGAGGTGAGATCGTTACATTTACATTTTCCTCACTCTTGCAGTTGGATGTATTGCTGTAGTTATCTACCTTGGTCCCCCTGAGTACGAAATAAAGTGTGACCTTGACCTGTTTGAAGTCTTTGAAAATGGGGTTGAAAAGTTACAGTTGTCATTCACTAATCAGACCGACAGGTTCTGGAAGATTTAAGAACTCGCGGATTGGTTCATCCACGGAAAAAGTATCCTTTAAGACCATTGGTGTTCTTACTGGCTGCACCTCCAGCGGCACATGAATGGGTGGATTGCCTGACCATTAAACTGGCAGAAAAGCTGGATCCAAGACATAAAACAAACCTGGCCATAATTGATGGTGAAAAAGATGGAGCAAATACTTCAGGAACGACGTAAAAAATGATGGACAAATTCCTGAAGGAAAAAGTTGGGGCTGCTCACAGGGTAATACTCATCCGTCACCTTGAGCTTCTCCCACCACCCTCAGCAATTCTATTTAACTCTTATTGTGATGATCAAGATGCACCACATGAGCATGTGGCCTTTATTTTTACTGTACGCATGCCAGTAGAGCCTAGTTCATCTCTTTCCCCAGAAGAAGCAGAGAAAAGTGTAGAGGAACATCTTTCAGGCCACGCGGGGCCCCCAAAATATTTTCCTCACCTTGCCTTACACGTGTTAAATTTTTCACAAATTTTTCACAACTTCGCCTGTTCCTGTTCGTAAGTCCGGCCAAGCCTTTATTGTCATCGGCCCCGTCGGAAAATAAAAGAAGCTTTACAACTACTGTTCGCTGAAGTGCTGCTCTCTAGTCTATGTTTAAAAAATTGTCCAACATTATGATGATGTAAAATCAGTCAATGATATTTTTCAAAGGTAACATTTGGTTCAGTAGGCTTGTTGGAGTATTGAGTTTAACCTTAATTTATATCTTCGCAAAAATTTTTGTTACTAGTTCAGTTTCTTTTTTAGGTTCAGTTGTATATTAATCCAGTTTTTGAAATCCTTTGGCTGGTGTTATTTTGCATGTCAATATGGAATATGTTTTACTAATATTTTTATCAGTTTTATCTTTTCTTCATTGTTTGATATTCTTTTAAAAGGTGTAAAACTCTTATCTCCCTGAACAATGGACCCCTTGAAAGAAAGGGAAGGGGGATTGATCAGTAGTCGTATAAGATTTGATGAAATAAAGAAAACAGTATCAAAATGTGTTCTCCCCAATTGTTGGATATTGTCTTGCGTACTACTTGAAGGCCCTTCTTTCAGTGCAGAAAAGCTCTGGCCAAGTGTTTATGTCCAATTATTAGGAGGGTTGTCCAGTACAAGTACAAATCATACCACTGGAAAGTGGTGTGATTTGGTATCATGAAACGTTGTATTTAATAGTTAATATTCAATTTTATCTTTTATTTCATGAAGATCATTAAGATTTTTAAATTATTTCTAATTCATGGAAGATTTTCATTTAATTTATATTCAAGTTAGTCTAATTGTTATTTAAATATTCCTACTGAAAAGCCCTTTTTAGGGAGCGCAATAAATAAATATGTATGTATGCTTTCCTTGGGAAGTCTATTGTTAGAATTAGAAATGTACTACCAGAAGTGGTGATCATCACTTACACTGATTACATTGGAAGTCAATAGAATAATAATGTGTACTCTGCCACTGGTGCCCTATGGATTCTGAATAGACACCAATGTCAGATTATGAAAACTAGAGTTTGATCCTAGACAGGCTCGTGTCCACATTTGATACTAGTGTCTGATTTTAGCCACTAGTGACCAATTTTTGACACGGGTGCTGGAGTTACGCTAGAGTCTGATAGAGATACTAGTGCCTGATTTTAGACACTGGATATTATTGTCTGATTTAAGACACTAGTGTGTGAAGTAAAGCACTTGTGTCTAGTTTCAGCAACTAGTGTTTAATTGAAGACACTAGTGTTTAAATAAGTCACCCTTTCTGATTTTTGGCACCAGTTTGTGATTTTAGACACCAGTGTGCAATTTTAGGCTCTTGTAGATTTTAAACACTAGTGTCTGATCGCAGATGCGAGTGTCCGATTTAAGACAGCACTGTGTGATTTTAGACATTAGAGTCTGATCTTAGACATTGTGTGCCATGCTAAGCACTTGTGTCTGGTATTACACATCAGTCTCACTTTAGAAACCAGAATCCGACTTTAAAAACTGTTTTCTTATTTTAGACACTAGTGTCCCATTTCAGGCACATTATTGTCTGATTTTCGACACTACTGTCCGACTTTGGAGCAAACAGTCCGCTGTTCACCCCATATTGCGGTGCTATTGCTCAATCTCGAGTCCAGTCTTTTTGGCATAGGTCGTCAGTTGAAGCGCAGAGACGCAGGCAGGTCACTTGCGCATCGAAACCATCAAGATACCTTTCCTGAGACTTCTCTGGTATCGATATTTTCCGATCAGACGTCGGTATCGCCGGTTTCATATGTTTGGTATCGGTATCGGCCCATCCTTAGTCTCCTTATGGTAAATGTGCGATGTTGTAAGATCCTGCTGCGGAAGACCTTGACGTACTCTTCGAATTCAACAAGAAATATGGATTTCTGGACTGAAACTTGAAGCTAAGAGCTAATATGAAAGGTGAGCTTCGCTTAAGATACATGTGACTTTCATTTGTCTAGAACGCTGTTAAGGTTCTACGGAATAGGACTGAGGCAAGTACTTCGGACGACTTAATTAGAGTTGTTCATTCCGAGTTTTGGCTGGTTTATTGTTCGAACAAAGTAAGATTTACTAGCTTAGTCTTGAGAATGCATTTATCAGGAAAAGTAACAATACTAATGTCGAAAAACTGAATAGCGCATGACAGAACACGTCGCACCAGCTCTCTTCGGTTAGATTTCATGAAGCGTGAACAACGTCACATATTCTTGTCCAAGAACTTAAAGCGAATGGAGTCTAACGTGAAGCTATCAGTCTCAAACTTAGACCAAAGATAGTTTGGTCTAGAGTGAAGATATGTTTATGTAATTTGTCTTGAAAATTCAAAGCACCCAGCAGCACTGGAAACCTTTACCTTGCCTTTGTGACATAGTTACTAAAACAAGGAATGACCTGCAATGACTTACAATGAACTACAATGAGCAACAATGAGTTACGGTGGGAACAAGGAGTGACCTAAAATGCTCCACAATGGGTTACAATGACCTACAATGAGCTACAATGAGCTATTATGAGTGTTACGAAAAATTGTGGCATGGCTGGTGT